AAAAATAACAAAAGAATCAAATGCGGCCATGCGGCGGCAATATCTCGCTTAAGAAGACTGTTCTTTCGAGATGCGGCTGAGATGGTTCTTGAAAAAGGCATATTTTCGTCATTCAGTATCCCAGAGGTCCCCACACACCACTTCGGAGACATTTTCAGAAACGCTGCTTCATTCCTACTGATAGGCCTACCGTCCACGCTAATCCGTCACGAAAACGGATATTTTCGAAAACGCTCTCTAAACCGAAGGAATTTGAAAACGCCGGCTTTGCGCTTTAGTGTGGACGGAAAACATTTTGAAAGAACGATGACGTTACGATAATCTCTGATTAATGATTGATTTCCCTGCGCGTGTTTTCCTCAAACACAGATCTAAAATGACCGGTGATTGTTACGTTTTCAAATTTCTCCGCCGTAGTGTGGACGAAACACATTTGATGCATTTCAAGAGTGAAAACGCGGTTTTCAAATTTGTCCAGCGTAGTGTGGAGGGGGTCTGAGAGACTTTCATTATGGCACTGACGGGGAGGCTCTCGTCGTACCTCCAGGGGTTGAAAGTCACATACCACCCGACCCCTCCGCCCTCCCAACTCTAGATGGCTTGGGATTACGCGCAATCACTTTTGCCCTCGTCACTATAGCCTGCAAAGGAGTATTCCTGGTAGCTGAGCAGGCCCCATTTGTGTTGGCAACACTATTCAGTATTCATGTCTGGACACGAGAAAATAGAAACGATTTTCCGTAGAAAAACGAAGCGTAGGGCCAGTAATAAGCAAAAGCTCCTTTTAGATTTGAAATTCAAACATGACAAACGCTTCAAACTATCTCATCCCGAAGTAGCTCTACTTTGTTTCCGTACGCAGAATATCTAATTGCACATAACTATAGAACAGGAGAAAAAAAGGCCGCTTGTGGCGAGGTGCAGCTCGATAGTTGTCGGCAGGTCTGTACTTCAACAAAAGCTTAAACATCATACTCGTTATTCCTATTTTCCCGGGTACATCTTGCAACAAGTAAAATCTATATAACAGAAAAGATTCACCTTTTGAATCGTAAACGGCAGTCTGATTCAACATCGCTTAAATTCGACTATAATACAACCTGCTGTAGCCCTTTCTTATTCATTAAAAACCCGCCACGTCCGCCATATGATTATTTTAACCAATCAGTGTCTTCGTGTGAATGGACCAACCAGCAAGGGTATTAGTTCAGCCTTGGCCAGGTTAGCGGAGAAGGCCCTGGGACGAGGTTGGTTTTCACTCTGAAATTTACAACATGGCGGTAGCCTCTAGAAATCGGCTACCTTTTGGTTATGACGAGGACTTTGTGGATGCAGTTGAAGATGAGATTGTCTGTTTGATATGTCATTTGCCGTTTAAGAAGCCTGTTCAAACGGGATGCGGCCACAGGTTTTGTGAAGAATGCCTCGAGGAATATTTTAGAAGGTGCGGCTTTGTTTACGTTTTTAGGTCACAGTGTTACTGATTTCGTAGGGCCTAGTTTACACTCGCTGCAAAAGCATAAGCTTAAGGACAAGAAATATCCTATAGGGCCTAGTTTACACTCGCTGCAAAAGCATAAGCTTAAGGAGAAGAAATATCCCATAAAAACACTAGAATATGCAGGCGGAAACACAGGGATCAAAGTCGATTTAATTCAATGCTTGCGAAGACTACTCAAAGGCTGAAAAACAATATGCCTAAAGCCTTCAACACGTTTTTAGACCAATTTCTTTAATTATTATTCAAAACCAGGACTACCTTAGAAGCACCTTTCGTTAATGTGCGTCGATAGAAGACTCAGAACAGCTATGAAATTAGGTAAATCGTTCAAAGGTAATTAAATAAACCACTCATCCACGAAAAAGTTGAGTGTTATCCGCTGAGCTACACCGCGTAATCTCTTTAATTTTTCTTCAAAACTAGAACTAATTTGGATGCATTTTTCACTTATGCACCTCAAGAGGCGACTCAGTACAGCTATTGGCAAACGACTACTGACAAATTACTGTGCATGTGTGTTGCTCGTTCTATAAGCGTTATCCACTAAAATTTACACCGCGGTGGATCATGCACTTTGTTTTAATGCCACTGGAATTTGTACTTCGCTACCGAGGAGGCGATACCATCAAAATTTAGCCTATTAGACGAATAAATGTTACGACGTACGATATCATTGTTCCTCGGTCCATGAGCGTTACCCCTAAGCGTTACATCGTGTACCACACCGCGCGTCGCATAGCCAGTTCATATATCTACAAAACGTAACTTATTCGCTATACATTTTCTTGACACCTCGTAAGAAGATTTCAAATATACGCCCTCCCCCAGCGGGGGTGGGGAGGGGGGGGGGCACTGCCATATATGGGCTATATAGGTATGTGCCGCTGTGAAGGGTATGGTTTGCAAGCAGTTTACTCTAGGATAGGGTATATAAATTAGAGCGTTCGGGTCTAGAATAGGGCATAATTTTTCACAAAACTGACTAGTTGGTTGAAGATTTTATCTAGACTAAGGAAACCAGGAATCGCCACTCAAAAATATAAAAAAATCAGATCGGCAAGTTTAAATTTACGCAAATCAGCCTCAACAGTGTCGATAGATGAGGGGAATTTGGGGAGTTAACTCTAGTATAGGGTAGCAAACTTCAGCTGAACTAGCTCTGGTATAGGCTAAGGGTTCCAGGGTCCCAGCAGCACATCCCCACCCAGAAATTCCCAAAGTACCCCCCCCCCGCGTCCTCCTCCCTGTGCTTATACCTCCACATAAACTCAGCTAAGTAAGAGGAGAAGTGATGCTTTCTCACACCGAAAGAAGGTAGTTTCACCTTTGCTTGTTTGCAGTAACCTATTTTATTGGTACTGTCTCCCTCGTTCACAAATTCTTGCGAGTGATTCACTGTTTTGCGTGTATAGCCATGCTTCTCGAGATTGCAGTACGCTTTCCAGCAGTCAGATATTATAACTGTTCCTTCTTCAATCCACCTTTCTATCAGCAGCAACAAAGTTGCTTGGTCTCCTTTGTCCACTGCAACCATAAAACATTTTCAACTTTCCTGCTCGATTCCTCCAAATACCCATTGTCCTTCGAGGTAATGCCGACTCGTGTGCTTACAATTCAGTATAGAAGTGCTTATGTTTGCATCGCGACCGGGCTTACCAATAGCTAGCTTACTATAATATAACTGAACCTCTTGTAGTGTTTATCGCCGATATAAATTTGATCAACAGAAGGTCTTGGGTCGCAGGTTATTCAGTTGGCAGATAAATGATGTGACTTTCATCACTTGCTTTATGGAAATGTTTTCGTTTGATGCGATCTCGTTCAAGCGTATCAAGATCATATCGTGTACGGCTTTTGCTTTACACGTCACTGCTTTTTCCTTACCTTCCTTAGATCGACTAAGTTCTTTAATTGCTCCTGAAATACTTCATTTAACAGACAAAATGTAGGCGAAAGCGAAAGCATGAATTAATTTTACACGTTGGCAGAATTAATTTTTGTTTCCTTTTCTCAGAAACGAGACGGTATTGTTTTCAGTTCAGCGTGCACTATTGACATAGTGGAGGTAATATCCAATCAGAATAAAGTTCGTAATTGTTAATGTAAATCCGGCGGCAAAATTTCCGCCGAAATTCGTTGCATCGCAACAAAATGTGGCATTTGCAACATTTTAATTGTTTGTTTGTACGGAAATGGGGAATGACGATTGAAACTCTCGTTTCTCGTTATTATATTGCACAAGAAAACTATGAACTGGACTTCTAATCGAATAGTGATAGTGAAAAGGAAATATATTTTCGAGTTACAGACATCGCCACACCGCGCGATTTGTCCACCAATGCAATATTTTATGGCGATGGTAGTAGTTAGTTTCGTTTAGATCACCAAAGAAGCGGTAATGTTTTCCGTTTCAGAGTGATTTATTGACATAGTGAGTATGAATGTTATCAGGGTAACGCTCGTGATTCACAAGGTAAACATGCAGAGCAACATTTTACGCCGTTGCTGGGCATTATGTCAACGCTCTAGTTACATGTACCGCCAATGCTGACAGCCGATGGAATTACGAGAGACCCCTGCGGACTCCTACGAGACTCTGTGCGGGATACTATTTCGCGGGAAACTCGTGTAGAGTGCGACTATCTATCCACGTCCCGAGATCCACGTAGTATTTCACTGCGATATGCCGGGCAGAAAGAAGTCTTTCAGGCAGCGCAAAACTGGAACATCAGCAGCGGCGTCCTCATCGGCCCGTTCTAAAGAAGAACTGCATTCAGAAATGCGGACACTGGGGTATGTTTCGTTGCGTTATCATATATTTAACCATGATCATTTTAGACTTTACTCGAGGCCGGCCATTGAATAATTGGCATTGCAGAAAACGTCACCGGAGGCCCTGCGGTTGACGCATTCTAATTGGTTTACGACACTTTGGCGGGTTATAGAATTTAATTCGAAAACAAGTTTTTGTCGACAACCCACGTGCATTTCAATACTTTGAAATAATTTGTTTTCGAAAATGTTGTAAAATTGGTAATGTTTAGTCTGGTCTGATGAGAAAAAAAAAAAAAAAAAAAAATCGCAGAAAATCGCTCCTGAAGGTCTACGGCAACCTTAAGAAATAGCTTCTTGTTGTGGTTACTGGCTTAATTGTGGTTACTGGCTTAAGCCAGTCACCATTATGCTAACGGTGAGTAAGATAGTCAGTGATTTTTTGGAAGCTTTGGGAAGAATCTCACGAAGAGAGGCCGAAAATATCTGGAGATTTGCTCAAGTTATTTTAATCGATTTTCATTTACTTTTACTGTTTATAAGTGAACAACAAAGTTCAATCGCTTAAGGTGGCTCAAAACAGTTTTCTGTTTTTGAGAATTTTGGAACTAGGTGCGATTTTTCAGGCTTGGAACTGTCCTGTTTTGAATGGCTGTGCTATTTTTTTGTCTTACCGTTCTTTTTGTACCTGAATAGTGAATAAAGATTGTGGTTGTTGTAGTTGTGTTTAAGTCATAAATTAAGGGTGCACTGTTCGGTTGCATGGCAACAAACTTGACCCACTTTTTACCACTAATTGCATCTATCTTAAAAACTAAGCCGGTGACATGTACTATTACACAACGAAACGTGACTCTCGCCTTACGGCATATGGAGGTGTTGTGTTACAAAGGTTTGAATTTATAAAGATTTGTATTGGGAGAAACGGTAATCGACATTATAGCTGAAATTTTGACATTCTGGCAAAGAAATTGAGTTACCTCAATGCCTTGTTGTCTTTTCTACTGTCATCTCGCTTCTCAGCTCGATCCGAAGCCTTTTAAGCGAGTTATGGATTTTTGGTTTTCCACGGCTGTTTTTTTGTCCAAACACCTACTTTGAAGTTCCTGGCTCAACTGTTCAGACTGTTGTCTAGTAGACTATAGCTCCAATTTTCACCAAAAATGAGAACATGGAGTGAATGGAATTAACAATTTAGCACTGTTTTATCTTTATTTTGTCTTTCTCATTTACAAGGTCTAAACAAAAAACGTAATTAATGGCGAGAAAACTGGATACGTGGCCATTCTTGCTACCGTTTGCGCGTTTCCGGCTGGCCTGCGGGAGCATCCGGGTTTTTCAAGAGCCGGAAAACGGGGTGCTCTTGCGGGCTAGTTTCCGGCAGCTTGTCAGTCATTTCATCAGTTTGCGCTTGCTATCGAGTTTGCTGTGAACTCTCTTTTTTCCCTAACGTCCAATTTTCAGGCAGTTAAAAAAACAGCTATTCGACAGGACAGACAGGGATAGTTCAAATAGGTAATCGTTGGATACTTTTGTTCTAATGACTATTTCAGTATATGTAGAGAGACTCTTTGTACAGTGTCGACACTCGCCCATTAGATCATTTACTCATTTCTTCATATTTGCGCCTTATTATTTGTTTTATACATTTCCCATTCCTGCCGTTTTCACGCATTTTTACTTTACATCTGTATAGAAGCCTTATGCGGAATATTTTTCTTACCCCTGATGATGTGGATTGCATCAAAAAAGCTTGTGGATTTTAAGAGGATTTTAACATCAATTTCACGGTAGTGTCAACCCTCATTTGCACTTTTGTCAGTATTATTATTCAAATAGGTAATAAACTGAGTAAAAAATTGCTTGAGAAAAAAATCTATTCTATGAACCTACGTGTACTATCTGTAAGTCCAAAGGTTGATACATAAAAAAGTCGAGGAAAAAGGTATATTAAATTTATATTTATTGGCGAAAAGCATTCTTATTAATTAAATCCTTAGTCTCTCCTGTTAAACTTACTATTATCTATCCCAAAGGTTGGTACATGAGTAAGATAAGTTACTGATTACCTGTACACAATGCTTTTTCATGTTTTGATTTGGCAAACAAAAATTTAAAACTACGATTACTGTGCACCGAAATTAGAAGGAACTCCAATTCCATAATTAAGATGGCGCTTTATGTGACTGACCCTTTCATCCAGCATGGAAGTCATGTAACTGTGTTGATAAGTGATTTATTTCGGCCATCTCTCATCGTAATAGCAAAGACTTTAAATTAAATACGAGGCCGTGAACAATCTAACAAATTTCAAAAAACGCAATGGGAATATGATAATTACGTTACACACTGTACAAATGGCAAAAGAAAAGCATAGTTCTCTTATCTCTTTCGCTTTCTCCTCACTAAATTCCTTTTACTGGGCACTAAAATTGATTCAGTTTTAATATGCTTCAGGCTCCGCGCTCCGCAGCAGAGCTTTCAGGGTTCCGGACTCCTGGTCAGGGCTCCAGGCAGTGAAATGATGGGGCTTGGGACTCAACAGCTAAAACGTTCGGACTCCAGGGTTCCAGGGACACCTCCCCACCTCCACTCGCTTTAATTTGGGACCCTGCGAGAGGGATCACTGACGTCAGAAAAAAACTTAGGCGCGTACAAATACACACGTACCGCGTACAAAATCTCCCTAGATTAAGCAAAACTGACTGAAAACAAGGAACAAGTAATTTTTACGGTATATAGATGAGGTAGAGCTGAGAGAATTACATTGATTTTCTTATCATTTCTTTTAACAGGCGAGTCGGCGAACCTTTAACTTGTCCCGCGGATTGGCAGACCTTGAACCGTGAGGTATATTAAATGCATAAGTCTATAACCGTCAGTATTTCCTCCATTGGAATAGGGCCCGTTAGAGTCTTGAAAAAGGGATGGCGAATGATAAATGCGAGACTTCGCGAGACGTCGTGACGTGCGTTTTCGTTACGAGCCCGAACAGATTTTGACTTTTTATTTGACTTTAAATTGCCACACGGAGACTATCTGTAACTGGAAATTCAACCATAACACTATACGTTTTGATATCCTAGAACACGCTCCCTGTTTTAAAATTCATTGTAGCACCAAAATGACGTGGCGGTACTTTTGGTTGAATTCAAACAATTGAGAAGAATTTCGGATTAACCTTTTCTTGCAAAATTGGAAGTTGCCTTAGTTGCGTTATTAAAATTCAATATATCAAGTGACGCGAAGACGTCATTTCTAAAAACAAACAAACAGTCACGGGGCTTCGAGACTTCCTCAACCTTTCAAAAAAGCGAGATCGCGACACAGCGTTGTGAAAAAATCGTGACTACGCACATAACTGCTAAAAAAACGAGACTGCGAGTCCCGTGAAATTCGACTAAAATTTTGCGAGACCCAGAGTTTTTGAAGGACCGTTTCCCACCCTTTCAACACGTTATTTTACCATAAACCCTTGGTTATAAGGTTCCACCACGAGGTTCACTCCACATTATAGACCGATCTCTCTTCCGTCAAAAACTAAAAAAAAAACTAAAAGTTGCCGAAAACCTTTGATACAATCGATGCGAAGTAAGGCCCAGTTCAGACGCCGAACTTTTCATCAGCCGAACCTAATACGTTGAATTAAGTACATGAAAAGTTCGGCGTCTGAATCAGTTAAGAACGGCTATTTGAATTTGGAACGGCTCAGCCGTTCTTCCC